CCAGCCTCGGCCCCGACCGGGGCGCCGCTCACCTGGAGCTCGGGCCGCAGGCCCCTCCACCGCACGGTCATCTTCAGGGCCTTTTTCACTTTCCACAGCTGCGGGAGCGAGGCCTGGGTGAGGGCGGCCCCTGCCTGCCCCTTCTGGGGCCCCTTCTGCTGCGCCGGCCTCCCAGCAGCCCCGCCACCTGCCCCCGGCCCGCGCCACCACCAGGCTGCCCGTCCGAGGGCACACAGCCAGGACCGGCCAGTGCGGGCCCGGTGTCATGGGCACTGCCCGCCAGGGCTGCAAGGCGTGGGGCGGGGAGCGCTGCGCCCGCCCTGCTCACCTCGATGGCGGCCCCGATGCCCGCCGGGACCAGCACCAGCAGGCTGGTCTGCTCGTCCAGCAGGAACAGGAAGATGACCACGGTGCTGAAGCAGCGCCAGAGCACTGGGGGAGGGGCGGGCTGGGCACTGCAGCCCCAGCTCACGCCCCTGCGGAGCCCCGGCCCGCCCCCCCGCCCCCCCCACTCACGCAGGCACCCGCAGCGCACGGAGGCCCCCCAGGGCCTGGGTGGCGCCGGCCCCCCCTCCTGCCCGGTCCCTCCCTGCGGGAGGGGGCAGAGCCCTGCAGAGCCGGCGCCGCTGGGCCTCACCCGCCTTGGTGGACATGCCCATCATGCTCTTCTTCTTCTTCCAGAAGCTGATGTCGTTTTTAAATGCCAGGAAGTCGAACAGAAGCTGGAACCAAGCACAAGCTGGCTGTCCGGCCCACCCCACGGCGACCGGCCCCCGCGCCGCCGGCCCTGCCTGCCCTCGGGGGCAGAGCGCCACCTCTTGGCGGGAACTGGGCAGCGCGCCCCCAGGGCCGCTCGGCCTTTGGGGCCAGCCGAGTTCCCCGGGCGCTCAGGGAGAGCCGCATCACCCCGCACTGACTGCCCGTGCCTCAACTGCCCGGGCACACGGACGGGCGACAGCGGCACTCACGTGGAACGCGGCCACGAAGAAGGTCAGCGCCAGGAAGTACAAGTTGGTATCCACGAAAATCCCTTTGACCTCGTCGGCGTCCTTCTCGGAGAAGCCTGCGAGGGGGGGGGGGGCCTCAGCGGTGGGCGGGGCGCGCCGAGGGGCTGCCGGTCGGGTCCAGGTGGGGCCTGCGGGCGCCGGCGGCGCTCACCGAACTGCTGCAGCGAGTACACGGCGTCCTGCATGTGGATCCAGAAGCGCAGGCGGCCCAGGGAGATCTTGTCGTAGGACACGGTCAGTGGCAGCTCCGTGGTGGAGCGGTTGATGACCTGGGGGCCGGGCGGTTGGTGGGGCGCCAGGCCTCCCACTGCCAGAGGGGGCCGCCCCGCCGCGCCCCGACGGTCCGTCGCGATGCCCGGCGCAACAAGGCGCTTCCACGGCCCGAGCTCCGCTGTGCCAGCTACCGACGCCGCAGCCCTCCGGGGCAGGTGGCACCCCGGCAGCTTGGGCCCGGCCACGAGCTTACCACGAGGTCCTTGACGCGACTGCTGAGCTGGTCGATGAACAGGATGGGCAGGTAGTGCACGGTCTCGCCCAGCTGGACCCTGCAGCCAAGCACAGGGTCAGAGCCAGCACCAGGCGGGGGCGGGG